ACCACCCCAGGCAGACATCTCTGGTAGGAGGTTGATGATGCAGGACTGAGAAGGGCCAGGGAGGAGGTGATAACGCCCCCTGTGCTGACTGCTGAATAGGCTGCAAACAGGATGTCAAAGCTGGAGGTGCTGGGATCTGTCCAGCCCAGTGTTTTAATCTCACCAACAAGGAAATTGAAGTTGAGTGGCTTGTCTTAGCCTTCCACCTAATGCATAGTGAGTTAAAATCAGAGCCAGGACTTAAATTCAGGTGTTCAGATATACCAGACAAATAGCAATTAAAAGAAAGCTTCTGTAGCAATATTTCTAACAGGCCAAATCGAATTTGGCAGAGAGCTTAAATAGGGATTAAAATAGATAATATATTACGAAGGAAGAAAAAATACACCAAGAAGTAATAGCAGACATAACTTTATATGCACTCATCAACATAGCTTGAAATATATGAAGTAAAAACGGACATAATGACAAGGAGAAAAGCAAAAGTGGGATATTTAGATAAAATTATATGACAAAGTGTTATATTAGATAAATGATTAGTCAGGCAGTAGAAGACTTGGACTATACAATTAATAAGCTTGACTCACTACAAACAGCCAAGTGGTGTGATCACAGCTCACTGCAGCTTCCAACACCTGGGCTCAAGTGATCCTTTTGCCTCAGTCTCCTGAGTAGATAGACTCAGGATAGACTGTTGCACTCAGTAAGCAGAGAATCTATATTCCTTTTAAGATTATGTAGAATATTTATAAAAGCCAATCATATGCTATTCCCCGCCCCCAAAACCGAATTCGGAGTATGTGTTCATGTGCTCCAACTTCAATATAACTAAGGGGAAAATATTCAGAATTAAAAATATATGCCCATATATAAGTCGCATGCTAAAGAGAAAATCACAATAGAGATTCTCAAATATTAGATGCTAAAAATAAAAATGTGTGCATTGCAGCTGAAGTGTTACATAAAGAGAATATTTATAAACTTGAAATGCACTACTAAACTAAGATTGCAAATACATATTAATTCAAATTAAGGTTTGTAGAAAAGAATAAAGCATTGTAAAGACATTAGACAGAAAAAGTCATAAAGCCAAGAGCAGAAATTAGTACATGAGCTTTTTAAATCAATACACTTTATTTCTAGAGTATATTTACGTTCATAGGAATATTGAGTGGAAAGTCCAGAGAGTTCCCAGATATCCTGCTATGCTCACAGATGCACAGCCTCCCTGGCTATGGACATCCCACTCCAGAGTGGCACGCTTATAAAATTGATGAACCTACACTGACACATTATTATCACCCGAAGTCCACAGTTTGCATGAGCGTTCACCCTTGGTGGTGTAGATTCTGTGGGTTTTGAGAAATGTATACTGACGCAGTCGCCATGCAGTATCATACAGAATAGAATAAATAAATTCAGGTTTCCGATGTCCTGGCCTCTTCTGAGAAGACTGCCCAGGCTTTGTGCAGAAGGAGGACTTCAAGGCTCTACCACATTCTGTCTCCCAGCCCCTTGCTTACTGGGAGTAGCCCATCAGCTTTTCCAAAGCCAGAAAGACATATTGAGGCAAACTGAGGGTTCCAGAGAACTCTCCATGCCATGGGAGTCCCTGGCTTCTTTGGTCTGTTCTCTGTGGGAACCTCATTTGTGAAAATTGCATCCTCCCAGGATGCAATTTTGAATCACCTCTGGCTACTGAGAGCTGTCTCTGGTTTCTGGGAACAAGCAGCTTTTGCCAAACAAGCACTACCAGGAATGATGAGTTCATAAATGAATCTTTAGGAGCACTATTAATTGCTTAATGAACAATTTCAGGCAGAGTCGGTCTCTGAAGTCTCCTAGATGGCAAGCGAGTGTTGGAACTTGGCCCCAAGATTTGGAGCTCACGTGCAGCTAGTCAAGGGGGATGATGGTGGTGAATTTTCCAGCCACACTGCCAAGGAGGGTGTTTGCGTCCACCCGGACTCTTGCTTTTTCGCTTTGTAGAGCTTTGTTCTGGCCTGCAGAGGCACAGTGGATCCTCTTGCTTGGGGAAATGTTGCCACAGGCAGTTCTTTAACTGTCTGACATCCTAGCTCTTGACTTCCCCCCATCCCTTTCTCCCTGCAAGGTGTAATGCTTAGTTCTGGTTGCAGCAAAGAATAGAACTTACTTTTTTTCTTTATGAGAATAAACACAATAATAGCATTCAAGTTGTGTATTTCATGTCATTATCCCTGTGTGTGTCCTAATTTCCTCTTCTTATAAGGACACCAGTCACACTGGATTAGGGCCACCCTGATAACTGGCATGAACTCCTGCAACTTTGGTGAAAACACTCCTCGTGGGACCAAACTGTCTTCGCAGGCCCTATTGTCCCTCATTAGGCATGCATCCCAAGTTGGGAAGCCATCTGCAGGGAAGGCAGGGAGGTAACATCTAGCCCTCCTTCACCATTGTTAAAATAAACACTTTAGACAAATTCAATTTAACAGAGTTTATCTGAGCAAAGAAGACTGGCAAATTGGGCAGTCCTCAGAACCAGCAGAGGTTCAGAGAAAGAGAAGCGAAGCACAGAAATAGCTGGATTGGTTACTCTCAGCATTTGTCTCATTTGGTTATAATCTAATTAGTTAGCTGCAGGAGACTGGCTGAGACTGGCTGGAAGTTGCAGAGATAGCACTCCTCAGCCAGTGTGTGTTCAGTCTGCAGGAACTCCAGGTAAGGGGCAGCCCCAAGCCTGTTAGTTGCTAGTTTCACACCGTTGAGATGCACAATGTCCTATTCCGCAGTCCAGAGCCCCCCTCCACCCCATTTTAAAAGACAGTGTTTTCCACCAAGAATTATTTTCTGGATAATTACAGCATTTTAACACTCTGCTCAAATCTGACTGTGAAGCCCAGGCTCAACAGGTTCACATTTGAAGGCCAAGTCTTGGACTGTGAGCAAGAAGTGCCATCAGAGAACTCAGGACAATGAAATGTAACTACGGAAAATAGTGTCGACATTTGAATAGGCTTTTTCAGAAGGCGCCCATTTCAATCATTTCATTTAAAGTGACTGCATTGTTTCTATCTCCCTACGCACCCTTTTTCTTGCCTTTGGTGAGGGGAAGATGAGGTGAAAGGCAGTCATCATCACTTCACACATAAGCCAGCTGGGTGTCCCGGCAAGGATTTCGTTATCTTGCAATGTATTTCACAAAAGAAGAGTAAACTATGGGTTTCTGAAACATTTCCAGCAATCCTCTGAAGAAGCCAATCCTTAATTCTGTAGTTGGAGGACAGTTCTAATAAATATGGGAAATAATAGATAGCCAAGTTCTTCTAGTCCTGACCCTTTTCCACTGCAGACAGAATGGTCTTCAGGACTGGGTTGGGCAAGATGGCTCATGCCTGTAATCCCAGCATTTTGGAGGCCCAGGTGGAAGGATCACTTGAGGCCAGGAGTTTCGAGACCAGCCTGGGCAACATAGTGCGACCCTGTCTCCTAAAGAAATAATAATAATGTAAAAATTACAGACCACAGGCATGTGCCTGTAGTAGCAACTACTCAAGAGGCTGAGGTGGGAAGATCACTTGAGCCTGGAAGCTGCAGTGAGCTGCGATCACACCACTGCACTCCAGCCTGGGCAACAGAGCAAGACTGTCTCTAACATAATAAACCAAATAAATAAAAATCAGATTGGAAGTGCTGGTTTCTATGTTAGTCTCCTAGGGCTTCTATAACAAAGTACCTCAGACTAGGTGCCTTAAATGACAGAAACAGATTCTGTGTCACAGTCCTGGAGGCCTGAAGTTGGAGTTCAAGGTGTCACCCCAGTTGGTTCCTATTGAGGCCGTGAAGGAGAGTCTGCTCCAGGCCTCTCTCCTTGTCTTGTAAACAGCCACCTTCTCCATGTCCTCACATGATGGTCCTCTGCGTGTATGTGTCCTGATTTCCTCTTCTTACAAGGACACCAGTCACACTGGATTAGGGCCAGCCTAGTAACTCCAGTTAACCTTATAAAGAACTTTGTAAAGACCCTCTTTCCAAGTAAGGTCTCATTCTTAGGTACTGGAGGTGGGACTTCAACATATAAATTTGTAGTGGGGTACACAAAACAGTTTCCTTATGGGATGCAAAGTCAGTCTGCAGGATGAGAATCCCTGCAGTTTGTGCCTGATAAACACACTTGTCGGAATACCAAAGGAATTGGAATTCCACCTTCTGTGAGGAGATTTGGATTTAAATGGGAATTACCCAGGTGGAAGGAAATGGTTGTCAGGAAAACATGGCTAAGCAGTCTCCTTAGTGTTTATTTTCATACATTTCTATTAATAACATCTTTCTTTGAAAAAACGATCCCCTCCAACGTCGTTTCACGGTTACCCACATCTCACCCAACTCAGCACCCTTTTCTACATCTTTTTCCTTGAAGGCAGCCAAGGCACTCCTACAGCCTGTGGAATTCTTCCTTCCTTTCTTTTTTTTTTTTTTTTTTTTTGAGATGGAGTTTCGCTCTTGTTACCCAGGCTGGAGTGCAATGGCACAATCTCGGCTCACCGCAACCTCCGCCTCCTGGGTTCAGGCAATTCTCCTGCTTCAGCCCCCTGAGTAGCTGGGATTACAGGCACACGCCACCATGCCCAGCTAATTTTTTGTATTTTTAGTAGAGATGGGGTTTCACCATGTTGACCAGAATGGTCTCGATCTCTTGACCTCGTGATCCACCTGCCTCCACCTCCCAAAGTGCTAAAGTGCTGGGATTACAGGCTTGAGCCACCGCGCCCAGCCGGAAGTTCTTCCTTTCTTTAAGCCTTTGCATGCAGTGCTTGAATCATATAATTGGCTTTTTCTCTATTCTGCACAATTTAGCACTTTCTTGGTTGCCAAATTTATTTTGTGTACAGAGTAGGTGCAATTATTGCATAGGGTCTGATGGTGGCATGGAGCTAGGAAGGGTCTCTCACTTTAAGGCCCATCCTTTGTCTTCAGTAACATCACAAACTGCTTGTATTATGTTCCCCTTGTCCAAGGACAGTGGTAAATAAATAGCAGGTATTTGATGCGTTTGGGATTTGTTCTCTTTTTTTTTTTTTTTCCGGAATCCAAAAGGAGTTTATTTTCTGGCACTGGGAGAGGCCCTGGGGCCACAGCCTTGCTCTGAGGGTTCCAGGGCTGCAGACAGGGGTTGTGGTCCTGCTGAGCAGAGGAACGACACCCCTGCCCTGGCACCCGCTGTTCTTATCGTCCTGCACTCTGAGTGGGGGCTACATATCATCCTCTGACACCAGGCAGTAGAAGTCTGTGCGGGCACTGAAGTTTCTCGAGCCAAGGTCCGAGACGTCCACTTCGCTGCCCCGGCCCTCTCCCAGTGAGACCCCACCCGTGCTCGGTGGAGCTGATGACTCTCCAAAGACAGGCCCCGGGACACCCAGGTCGCCCTCTTCCAGGGCCCGGGCCTCTGGGACTCGGCCTTGAAGAATCAGCATGGGGTCCTTGTCGTCCTGCAGCTGCGTCTGGGAGTCCCCTTCCGCTGGCCTGTAGTGCACCTTCCGCGGCAGCGCTGGCTGTAGTTCTGTCCAAAAACCGAAGGAAGGAGTCAGAAGCTGTGGTCGCACCAGGCCCGGCTCAGGAAGGCGTCTGAGAGCACCAAGATGAGGCGCGGGCAGCGGCTCGGGTTCACCAGGAGGTCGGCGGAGGGCTCGGCCCACGGCAGGAGGTCGCGGTCATCCAGGAAGAGCTTGTAGTCCCAACGCCGCTCCAGCTGCAGCTTCAGGATGAAGTTCAAGAACTTGCGGTCCTCCAGGCAGTCGCTATAGGAGACGTAGGCATCGTAGAGCTTCCCATCGTTCATCTCCACCTCCCCGTACACGTCCTGGTACCAGAGCAGCACGTTGAGACGGCACTTGACATAGAGCACGGCGGCCAGCAGCACGGCCAGCAGGACCAGGAGGGAGGCCAGCACTGCCGCCATGTGGCTTGCAAAGCCAGTTCTCATTTTTTTTTTCAAGATTCATTGTACACATTTGTCCAAAAACAAAACAAAAATACCCAGAGCTTGTTCGGTGTGGTGGCACGTGCCTGTAATCTCAGCTGCTCAGGAGATCAAGTGGGAGGATCACTTGAGCCCGGGAATTAGAGGCCAGCCTGGACAATATAGTGAGAGCCTGTGTCAAAACAGACAAACAGACAACCCTCAAAACCAGAAAACAAAGAAACCAAAAAACCCAGAGAGCCTGACGTAAAAGAGGAAAAACAGATCTTAGGAACTACTGCAAAAGGGGAAAGAGATCTCAGTTCTGAATATAATAAGGAAAACTGAGAATTTATAGCCAGAAAAAAGATAGGGGTCAGTAGGTGAAAAATTCCTAAGAAAAAATATCAGGGGTTAGGGGGATTCTTGTTAAAGGCAAGTCAGCGTGATGAGGCATCATCTGGGATGAGAATGACAAATTCAGTAGGATGTCAAGGGCCATAGTTCTTGAAGTTGGGAGGCTCTGGTTAAACGAATCTAGAAAAATTCTTGCTAAAGTTGGGCTCTTGGCAGACATGGCCAAGAACAGGGCCTAGTCAGGCTTGAGGAAACTGACAAATTTGGTCAAGGAAGATAATCTTTATTAACTTCTTTTTGCCACTTGAAGGGCAAAAACATCAGAAAACCAGGAGGCTCTATCTGCCTCCCATCTCTTTTTGGGAGGCATCTATAAATAGTATTGCCCTAGATCCAGACAGGAAAAACCCCTGCTGTAGGCCTCATATTCTAGAGAATCCTAAGTCTCTCAGACACACACACACACACACACACACTCTCTCTCTCTCTCAAAAATACCTGGCCTCTTGTGTCTGATAACAACACTTCTCACTTATGATTGTTATTTTCTGTAACAGGTCTACCAAATCATGATAAATCATACTTATTAAATTATCATTTTTCTCCATTTGGGTAAGTATGAGATGTAACTCTAAAATGCTGATGCCAGTTTCCCACTAACATAGGAGGCTATTGCCTGTGTGACTTCTCTTTTTTTTATGTTGTGGTTCCACACAGGTGTTTTTGGGTATCAGACAGGATCATAAATCTAGGTTTTGTTTGTTTTCTTTTGTTTTTTGAGACAAGGTCTCACTCTGTTGCCCAGGCTGGAGTGCAGTGGCACCGTCACGGCTCACTGCAGCCTCGACCTCCCAAGGCTCAGGTGATCCTCCTGCCTCAGCCCCACCGAGTAACTGGGATTACAGGCACGCACCACCATGTTGGCTAATTTTTGTATTTTTCAAAGTAAAGATGGTGTTTTGCCATGTTGCCCAGGCTGGTCTCAAACTCCTGAGCTCAAGCAATCCATGCACCTCGGCCTCCCAAAGTGCTGGGATTACAGGCATGGGCCACCACACCCAGCCTTAAATCTAGTATTTTAAAGGGCAGCTCTATAACAAAGTTTTTCATCTCCACCACAGTATTAGTCTGTTTTCACCTTGCTAATAAAGACATACCCGAGACAAGGCAATTTACAAATGAAAAAGGTTTAATGGATTTACAGTTCCACATGGATGGGGAGGCCTGACAATGGCAGAAGGGAAAGAGGAGCAAGTCACAATTCATATGGATGGAGGCAGGCAAAGAGAGAGAGCTTGTATAAGGAAACTCCCATTTTAAAAGCCATCAGATCTCATGACACTATCAGGAGAACAGCACGGGAAAGACCTGCCCCCATGATTCAATTATTGCCCACTGGGTCCCTCCCACAACATGTGGGAATTATGTGGGCTACAAGATGAATTTGGGTGGGGACACAGAGCCAAACCATATCAACCACCAAGTCCTCTTGTACTTTCTCTAATATCTCTCAATTCTTTCTTCATCTTTTCATTTTACAACTACTCAGCAAAGCTGTACTCCCTCTGGCCTCAGCTACCTCAACAGCCTCCAAGCTCATCTCCCTGATCTGCCTCCTCTGCTCATCCTCCACCCAGTAGCCATAGTGACCTGTGTGCACTGTAAATGTTAATGACACTGCCTGGCCTCAAACCCTCCGGGGGCTTCCATCACTCCCAGCATACAATCCGGATTCCTTCCCATGGCCAGCCTATCGGTCCCAGATGTGGCTCCTGCCTCCTTCTCCTGTCTCACAATGGGCCCCACACATGCCACAGCCTTCCCTCCAGCTGGGGTCAGCACTGAGGCCTCGGCTCTGCCACCAACAGCAGTGAGGTTTCCCAGCCCCACTCCCTGTGCCTTGCTTACCCTGCAGCCTGAAATTCACTCCACCCCATTCATACTTCCTGGCTCCAAGACCAGCTTTTGCTCACACTTCAGGTGTCTGCTTGAAAAGCATTTCCCCAGAGGTGCTTGTTTTGGCCCCACTGTCTAAAGCAGCTCTCCCCAGTAAACACCCCCTGTCCCCCACTGCCCAGTTGGTGTCTTTTTCTAGCCGCCATTACTACTGAAACTGTCTGTGTGCTCACTTCCCAGTTACCTTTCTTGCCACCACTAGAATGTAAGGTCCTATCAATATTCCTGTTCAATGCACATTTTCAGGATGAACAAAGAATGTTTATTTGATCTTTATTGGAAGTATAAAGAAAAGCTACACAGACTCATCCAAATTTTAACTTGCATCTCCATGGGTTAAATAAAACACTGTTCCTTTTTGTTCCCTCTTTACTTTCACCCCCTCATGTTTCCTTTTACCTCTAAAAAGTAAGGTTTTAATAGCATTGAAGATTTTATGCTAAGGTCTTCTCACACCTTTACGAGAGCCCAAGAAACCATTCCTTTACCCTCGTGCATTTTTCTGCTCTCAGAGAGGGAGTTTTTCTACCTTTCCCCCCATTTCAGAGTGCTCTGCCAGTGGAAAGGTTTACTTTAAGTCTCCCTGCTAAGTCTGTGTAATAAGAATACTCTATCTCACAGCTGTCAGCTCTTTTTTAAACAGTGCGGCCTCTGGTTCTTTGAAAAATGCCAGCCATTTATTTAATCCTGGCTTTGGCTTCAGGTCCACCGGAACAATGGCCAGTATGCCTGTGATTACTTTATCACCATTTCTCTGTGTTGGGAGAGCCTTTGTCGGTACATGTGAGTCAAAGACTTCTCACTGTTTCCTGATTTTTCTCTTTGTTCTTTCCAGTCTTTCTACTTGGCACAAGTTAGTGTGCCTGGATGTTTAAGACCAGGCATAACAGAGCAGCAAGATGCAAAGCTGGCATACATGTCAGAAGCAGGTTGAGGCTTTCTATTTGTTGATAAACTCAGTAAAAGACAAAAAAAAAATGGATATTGTCACCTGTCATGGCTCATAGTAAACAGAAAGCCACCCCTCTCTCTGGCTGATGGTTTATTCAGGTTCATCTATTCTGACAAGTAAATACCTAACAAATATTTATTAACACTTAATAAGCAGTATTTAGTTGCTACTCACTTTTGATGGGCTAGTGTACATGATTTCAATGAACAGATATTCTTTTTGTGAGCTTGTTTAATTTTTAAAAAACACTGTATTGTCTTGAGTGTGACAGAAACATCCACCCATCTCTGCCTTCCCTTTTTCTTTGACTGTAGACTCCCAACTTTTAGTTAGACAGGCACACGCTGTCTTGAATGAAGACCACATTTCTCAGCCTCCACTGCGTTTAGTGCGGCCATGTGGGTAGGACTTGGTCAAGGAGAAGAGAGCAGAATGTAGTGCGTAACTTCCAGGAAGAGTCTTTAAGAGGAGGGAATGTCCTTCTTACTTCCTTCTCTTTCCTGGTGAAGGAAATGCAGACGTAGTAGCCAGAATTTGAGCAGCAGTTTTGACCATGAAGTGGAAGCAATGTGCAGAAACTGATGGGGAACAAAAGGAATTTCAACAGATTTTAAGGAGATAAAAATCAGGTGATACAACTGGTTTAGCAGGGGGAAGAAATTTACAATCTATGGTTCCTATAGAGAGTAAAGCTAATGGGAAGAGAGTGTTCTGCGTTGCAGAACTTGTGAAATGATCAGGAATTTGAGGTGCTACATACCGTGGTCAGCTTGATTAATGAGGGCTGGTTGGAGACTATGGAACAGTCAGACTTTAGGATACCTTCACCCTCCACACTCAGGCAAGTCATTCCTCCAGGTCCTCCAATGACCTCCCTAGAGATGAGATGAGTGTTATTCACTGGAGAAGCTAAGCAGGAGAAATGCTGGATGTCAGGAAATCAATTGAATTGCAGGGTAGGGCAGTAATTGTGAAAATTACAGAAACGTCTATATGAGAAACAATTGAGTCTATGCCCTCTGTCTCTCCCACTCTCTCTCCTATGACATCTTTAGCAGATGTCACAGACAAGACAGCAAGATCCAACTATAGGCTGTCTATAAGAGACACATTTTAGATTCACAGAAACAGGTAGGGTGATAATAAAAGGAGGACACAATATACACTGTACAGACAGTAGCCAAAGAGAGCTGGATTAGCTATACTAACATCAGACAAAATGGACTTTGAAAGAAGAAAATCACAAGAGAAGAGAGGGCATTTCACAACTATAAAAGGGTAAACATAACAGAAAGATATAGCAATTATAAATGTAAATGCACCTAACACTGGGTCTCAAAATACAGGAAGCAAGGACTGATAGAATTGAGGGAGAAAGAAACAACTTAACATTTAAAGTTGGAGATTTTAATTATGTTCCCTCAAATATGTAATATTTGGGAATAGAACAACAATTCATAAAGTCAAGAAGGGAATTGAAGACTTGAACAACACTACCAGCCAACTGGAACTAAGGGACATATATAGAACACTCCACCCAAAAGCAGAATGCACATTCTTTCCGGGACCTGGCAGGAACTGGTACCAGTCTATGGCCTGTTAGGAACCAGGCTGCACAGCAAGAAGTGAGTGGCGAGCGAGCATTATTGCCGGAGCTCTGCCTCCTGTCAGATCAGTGGTGGCATTTGATTGCCATGGGAGCATGAACCCTATTGTGAACTGCATATGTGAGGGATCTAGGTTGTGTATTCCTTATGAG